AAGCAGTTGAGATTCAAGGACATGGTCTCAAAGACCTTTTGCATAACAGGACTCCTTGACCTCTCTGATCCTACAGTCAGGTGCCACCTGTGGCTCTGCAGCATTACTCTTATCTTGCATGACATTTCAAGGGCACAGGTTCATGCAAAAAGACTATACATAGGAAACCTCAAAAAAGGGGCATAACTTTGGTGCACAGTAACCCCGTCTGAAAGAAATATCCAAACTCTCATGCGTGTTTCTGGCACACATGGCATTCCTTGCATTCCAGCAATGCTTTTGCCAAAATGAAACTTCTTAAGCGAGGAGACTCTTTCCAACAAGCCCTTGATTGTGAAACCACTCGAAGAGCCTGCTCCACCTTAGGCAGGCTTCTCCAATGGCTCAGCTCTGTTCTCCATACAGAATCCAAAGAGAGAGATGGAAAGGTGAACCTTTAAATGCAGACCCTGGAAAAGTCTGTGCTGTCTTGATTTTCACAACTGTAAAACTGGGGATACCAGTTATTTAACTTCTAGAAAGGACTGTGAAAAAGTGTTTGGAAGCCATTCTGACGACAAAAAAAACCTGTTACCAGAAACATTCTCCTTCATAAAATGGTGTTTGCTGATTTACATAAACTGTTGACCTTTTCTGTATCAAAATGAACGCTTCATACCAGTTTTTCTTATTTGTGTTTGGGATGAGTTCCAGGTTTCTGCTTTATGTTCAAGCTGCAAATACAGCACTGCTCCAGTGCTTCATTACTTGTGTTTCCAACTATCCTGACATTTAGACAGGAAAATAAAAATTCAAATCCATTCAGCAGCTAGAGCAACATTTTAAATGCAAGCCATCTCCTTCACCACAGGCACAGACACACAGAATAATTATCTCAACATTTCACATAATAGTGACAAAGAGAAGTTTTTATTCCATTCCACTTCAAGACAAGTTAGCTACTCTAAAATCAAAGGTGTCTGCAGACACGGGGATGTTCCTCCTTTGCATCCTTATATTTGAATGTTAAATTTTTCTGCCACTGTCCTAAACACTCCTCTACATATAAGCAAACACGCAACTTTTACTCAGTAGAAAGAGGACCCAAAGCGAGGCACCCAGTCCTGATCCAAGCATGAGCCTTCTTGTTCTATCAAACCAAGGTCTTGGGCAGGTATTTCACAAATCTAAGTGCACAAGGGGCTGATTCAACATTAGTGCAAGGTGCTACCCACTTCTGGGCAGTGATCAAATCCTGAAAAAGTCTCATTTTGAAGGGGGAAGGGAGGGGAAGCAACTGTCCCACAGAGATCAATGGGAATAAGGCACTTGACTTTTGGAGATGAGATACTCTATTGTGACACATTCTAATTCCTCCACCTCCTGCACAAGGATCTCTCAGCTTGGCTTCTTCCAAAAGAAAGACATGTCAAAGCATGCTTTTCATGCACAGGGATTGCTAACAACCTCTCATACATGGTTTCCTCTCGTTGGTCTTGCAGAAAAAAGGAGAAAAAAAATATTTTGAAAGTGCAGAGTACAAAATCCTTCTCCTACCTAGAAATCATTATGTAAAACCTACAACCTGGTGATCTAAGAGAGTCCTCTGAAAATATCCTTTTTCCATTTGTCACAGCTTTATCTTCTTTTTCTCCCCATTTTATCAGTTTCAGCTGGAAGGGCAGCAGCTGTGCTTAGTTGGAAGCAAAACCATTTTACTTAGATCCGCTGCAAATTGCAAGGAGGTTGACTGATGGTGTTTTGCCATTCAGAAAATGTCAGCCCACTACTATATACAACACACTGTAACACAGTATGACCTCATGTACAAATGTCAGAAGCTTCCTGAGAACCTCACATCATTCACAAAAACAAAGAAAGTGTAAAACAGTGGTCTGCTAGCTAATCTCTCCTCCCTTTCCATATAACTGGTCTAAGCAGACAGTTAACTTAGCAGAACAAAATTAATGAAACAGTCTGACTGAAATACTGAGATAATACGTGAACTGATAAAACCTCTAAGAGCTGAAGTTACAACTGAAGTGTGGCTAATAGAGTAATGGACTGCATGTGTTTTAAGACCATCTCAGATTTGTGCTTGGGAATTTAAGAACCATTTTTTAAAAGATACATATTTCTGATTCTGAAAATTTGGCTGCGAAGTGAGTTTTTTATTTTGACCTGCTGCTCTTCTATATGCACTGTTCCCTTCCCGTAAAATTTCTGGATTAACAATAAATAAGGCTTCACGTAGATCTTGAAAAAAACAGTTACGGGTTTGCTGCAGGAGTTATTAGGTGAAGTTTTACAGTCTATATTATATAGCAAGTAAGATCAGATGATCCTCATGTTCCATTCTGGACCTAAAATCTATGAACATGTATTCTTAGAAAGAAAACAAGTCTCTGAGTATGGTTACCACTTGAACTGCAGAAAAGGAAGGAGTGAAATATGTTTATTTAAAACATGCAGTTAAAGTGTCTTTATCAAGTAACAATCACTAACCCTACAGAAACATGTCACCAGGCTTCACAAAAAGCAGTCAGGCACCCAAAAAGTTCAGCCCAGCAATCACTGGAAAAACACATAAGAATGTGTCTTCTGTACGAGACAGCTGCAGCACGTACAGTTTGTACTTTGCCGGAATGGATCAACCACCCTCTTTAATACTCAAGATCCACTGGTCACAGCCTCCTGGCTGATTCTGCACTCACACAGATGACAATAAAGAGGCAAAAGACCTCAAACCCTCTTAGGACTGTGAAAAGCACAAAATGAAAAACATCAAGGAAGTGTAAATCATCGACTAACAGCCTGAGAATATTATTTTTTCTGCATACGGAAAAAGCAAAAGCAGTTGTTTCCTCCAAGAACATGCATAATGGAAAATAAGATGCTTCTAAGAAGCCCATTAAAAGGGTATGGTCCTGCTAGTATGTTCAAGTTTTTCACAAAAATACTGGTGCCTCTTTCACTCACTAGCTCCCTGCTATGGAAAAACACTTCTTCAGAGTCTGGAAAATGCTGTTTGATCTCAGTAAATCACATCTCACTGCTTGTCGGTTTCTGATTGATGGTGTAACTTAGGGAACAATATCTGTGTGTGGAATACTGTCTAGAGAAGCAGTCAGGGATTATTGAAAATACAGTATTTACGCAGTTTAAAAATCAGTGGCACATTACGCACAACTTTCTTCTAGAGTGATGAAAAATTACTTAAGTGTATTTGGGAACAAAGGGTATAAGGTCTTTTTTTTAAGGTCTATTTGTAAGAACACTCAGCTGGTTAAGACTTCTTAGTGAATTAGTAGTGATGAATGCAAGAAAAAGTGTCAACCACAGTTGAGCATAAAGCCAGCTGCTTCTCCAACCAATGGGCAGAAAGGAAGACGTCACTGTACAATGGTGGTCAGAGAAGATGGAAGAAAATAAAACTGAAGAAAAGAGAAGGAAAACGAACCAAGGATCACTGATTTCTCTAAGCGATTTAAAACTACTGGAGAAGGAGGAAAAGTCTAAGGTTTCATCACACTATGTGTTGTTTCTTCATCTATCTAATACATCACAGTTAGTTGGAAGACTTTCAGAAAACAGCCACCCTGAAAGAGCATCCACCTTCTCAGCATAAATCATTCTGGAGTTACTGAATTCAGGGGCTCAGCGCTGACTTACACCAGCTACAGGTAGGACTTTATACATGCCTCACCTTCCAGAACATAATTTGAGTCCTTAACCATTGTATTTTTCACCAAAACACAAAGGCAACAAGACATCAGGACATCAGCCACAGAAAGGCCATGACTGAAAACAATTACGGAACCTATGCAACATACATCCTTCCATCAGACAGAAAGAGGGGAAGATTAATTTCAATGTATAAGGGTATCACAGAAGTAAATGAGGATGGATGCTGTTGCCAGTGGTGTGACTCTGAGAAAAAAAAACCAAAACAAAAACAAAAACAAACAAACCACAAAAATTTGGCAGGTGTAAAGGGAAAGAAAAGAAATACTTCCCACAGACCATACAAAGTTAAACTGCCAAATTATCTAATTGCTACAGAGAGACAAAAAATTCAGAGAGCTCATGGAAGGGTTAGCTCAATTCACGGAGTACAGATCTGCTGCTGGCAACAGAAATGACAGTTCAGTGGCAATCAACAGCTCAGGACTCCTTTGAATTCTGTAGGAGTGTGAGGATTTTGGACATACAAAGTAGGATCACCCTACTCTTTCTGTTTCTCTTGTTTCTCTAGCACCAGTTACTGTCCTGTTCCAGAGGCAGGGAAGCACTTCAGTGTAGTTGGTCAGCTCCAGCAGGGTCATGTTAATACCTGTGCATGCGCTCTACCTGCTACCGGAGCAAGGAAACAAGAAAGCGAGAAACACTGTCAAAACCACAGGGTAAATTCACCAATGCTTCCTGGAAATTATTGCACATTATAGTAATCCTTAGGACAGCCAAGAAACACTGCATATGAAAAGAAAAACTTATCTGCACTAGTTTCAAATGAAGTAACATGGTGTGATGAGTCTGCAAGCAAACAAGGAAGCAAGTCTGCGAAGGGTTTCATAACATGGTTTGGATGCAGGAATAGTTCCCACACACGGTTCAGAAAGAAGAGGACAGTAAAGGCTCAGTGGGAGGCCTCTGGAAATGGACAGAATCTCTGAGAAGAGAGGAAAGATAATTCTGTGGTTGGGGCAAAGATAATTCTTTGTTCCTCCAAGGGAGCCAGGTGGTCATCACCAAAGATGACACCTCAAGTGACTCTTTGTACAACTTAAGAGACATACACAGGAGCAGGAAGGTACGACCAACTGCTCCTGAACCACGGGCCTTCTGAAGTACAAGCTTGCACTACTGTACAGTAACAGCCCTACGTTACCACTGCACCACAAGCCATCATCCTGTGAACACCTACTTTCTGAGGCCTGGCGTCCTTCCCTGCAGCAACCCACACCTCCCCGGTGCCTGCCCTGAGGCAAGGCAGTCCCAGATGCCCTGGCAGATGCACTTACCTCTTGCTTTTGGCTCTGAGTAGGAGGGGATGTCTTCAGAGGTCAGGATTTGGGGGAGGCACGTGGGAGCGCCAACCCCCTGTCCCAGGTAGGAGGCGGGTGCATAGTAGGAGCACATGCGGTACTGGGAGCTGGCGGCATGGCGACTCTCCATCACCTTCACCTGCCGGAGACAGAAGCGCAACAGCAGCCTATGAAAGCCAGGCCCCGGCACTGCGCGGGCAGCCCGCTGCCCCACACCCACACAGCTGGGAAGGAGGTTATGGGGGGTGGATGGAACGTAAAATCCTGACATGCTGGCCTTGGTTTTTTGGTTTGGTTGGCTGATGGCGTGCCCACACCACCCAGACACAAACAAGCCGCCACGGTACAGGATGTGACCCAGCAGCAGCACCAGCACACCCACGGCTGGTTTATCTTACCTCACGTGAACCTGCGTCCGGCACACAAGCATGCATCCTTCACTGCAAGGAGCCTCCAAGGAAGTCCCCTGCTTAAGGCACAGACAGCACCACGGGAAGCTTTCCAGACCCTTCCTTCAACAGCTCACACCCGACCAGGGTCAGAGGTGAAGTGTCCATCCAGTCCCTACTCCTCCCCAGAGACTAACCCACCTCAGACTGGTGGTAAGTGCTCTGCCAGGGACCTGCGGGGGGGCCACGGAGGACAGTCCTACCCGCTGACTCACTCAGAAAACACGGATGGAAACACATTGCTTTTCCCACGACCTAGTAAGATGGAAGAATATTTCCCTGATTTACTTAGTGAAACCAAGTTGTGGACAGACTAGATGGGAAGCCCGTAGTGGAGCCACAGGTGGACACTGGGCAGCAGGTCCACCGTGCCAGCACCGTGTCCACCAGACAAACCCATCTCCTTCCTGCAGCCTGCAGCACAGCTGGAAGCATTCAGAAATCAAAGTTTATCCTACTCCAATGCCCTGAAATAATCCAAACTGACCTCCTCAGAGAGGAAGGTCTTAAATTTTTGTTTTGTGAAAGAACTACCACCTACTACTACTTGTTCCAAAGCCCTACAATGTAACACGACCGCAGTGCTCCAACAAATACAGCCAAACACTCCACAAGACTAGGATCTTCAACAGGAAAGGTAACATAACCTGGTCTCCCTAAGTCTGCTGGGCAGGGAATGATTGTAAGATGGAAAGCTTCTAGACAGACAAAAAGTATCACAGTTTTGTATCAGCTATAGAGGTAGCAATGCCAGCATCAACGCATGTCCAGCTATGCCATTAGATGTCCTCTTCGCAAGCATAAGTGCTTGACAGCCTTTTCAGACACATCTCACTTCGGTTAGAGGAGCTCTGCCCACTTTGCTGTAGTTCCCCTGGGCCCCAGCCAGCCACGTGTGGAGTCCTGCTCCTCAGCCCTTCCCAGGCTGCGACACTCAGACATGGGAACCAGAAGAGGCAGGGGATGAACCGGCTGTCCTAGCTGGCCACCCTGTGCCAGCACACCCCAGGGTCTGGTCCTGGAAGAGGACCTACTGGCACCTCCTGGAGAAGCAGCCAGAATGCAGTCACCCCTTCTTAGTATGCCTAGCTGGAAATAACATGGCCCAAATCACATAAAATCCTGCTGGTGCTCTTGGAGACAGAGGGCAACATCCCACTTTCCATGTGGAGCCAGGTTTGCAGCAAGATTAAGTGGCTTTTTACAGGAAGCAAAGTGCACCTCTGCCAGTCTCCTGACAGCGGCACAGTTGCACGCATTTGCACATGTACTAGGGGATCGGCAGGACATGCTTTTAGTCTGTGAAAGTAAAGAGTTTTTCTATAATAAATTAAAGCAATACTTAAAAGGTGATTTTTCTATGATCCGCACCCTATGCATGCAGAAACAGTTCAACATGCACTGAAGTTTCATCCATGATAAACAGTAAATTCCTCTTAAAAGAATTTATTGTGTCATCCCAAGGAAACCTGAACTCAAAACAGACACATCCCCTCTGCTGTTCTGAAAAAGGGCAGTCTCCCCTTGGAAACAGGCATGTGTGCTTTGCATAGACTCCCTTAACAAAACCCAGGCTGCCTCCACCCAGAAATTCTGGATTGGCAATACAAACTGACCAAAGGCTCTGCCCAAAGACCACTCTGAATCCGCACATCTGCAAAGCTCAACAGCTCTAGAAGTAGTGGGGAAAAAAATTCAGCTAACTCCTCTCTGCCCACTGTTCTGCACACACTGCCTTCTTTCCCTCAGTGGGGCAGGGTTGTGGGCAGCATCCACGGCCCTCACATCTCCACCTCTCCCTTGTGCAAGTGCACATGTGCACACACACAACCGAGAAAAGGTCGCCTGCAAGAGACAGCATTATTTTAGCTGTAACAAAACAGAGGGATCCTGGCACTGAAATTATCACATAGATTTTTCCTCTCCCTGTAGAGTTGATGCTGTGACCTGTTTCCTTTCAAACATTTTGTTAGGGTTTTTCTCCATTTCTTAAAAAAACCCCTCACCTAAAATCTCTGGATGCAATGAATTATTACTACTATTATTATTAGTATGTGGTAGCTGGCTAGCAAGAGACATGTTTTATAATCTTATTACCCACACCAAGTCTATGAACCACAGTTCGACCAACAGCCAGAGGCTTGGCTCTGCAAAGAATATGCTGTGTATTAAGTGATGAAGAAAATCTAAAAGCTTTGGGTTTTTTTTATTGAACTGTTTAGAATATACATTGCAGTAAATCTGAACCATAAGGTTTCATTTTTATAGTGTTTAGCAATCCTATTTTACAGTAACAATAAAAAAACAACCAGTCGTAAAAATTCTTGACCTTAGCGCTGCATTAAAAAGGGGGCTTAGGAGATCATTACCCCATGAGAAGGGACATTTACTCTGTATTAACTCCTGCAGACCTGAAGAGTACTTGCATATTTTTGAGTGCCAGAAAGGGAGACAAAAACAACCCTGAGGAGGCCCTGGAATGCTCAGATTATTTATAACCTGTGGCAGTCCAGCCTTCCAAACACCGGAGCCAGGTGCCACGTTTGGGATCTTTCCTTGGGTCCTGTTCTGGGGGAATGCTGGGGTCACACAGTGATCACAGGAGACGCCTGGCTCTCTGGTATCTCCTGCCTCCGTCTCCCCACCCAGCCCTACAGTGGGGCCAAGACAGGCAAGGGCTGGGATGGTCCCACAAGCCACGCTGGTTTCTATCACTGCAGGACACAGGCTGTAAGAACAAGGCACGTTTTAGATGAGGAAGTGCTGTGGAAGGGAAGGGCACACACTTCTTTGCAGAGAGCAAACTGAGCTCCTCAGCTGAACACCTGAGTTGCTCACTCACAGTGCATCCCCTTCCAGCCACACACAGTTCATGCCCTGCCCCAGCTGCAGGATTGATTCACCAAGTACCTCACTGACTTCCATGGAAGACACGGGTCATCAGAGAAGCACATCTGGCCTATCAGCATTTATGGGTTCCCCTAAATTGTACAACACAGAACACACTCAATAACTGTTTAAAGGATGTACTGCAAGTAACAGTGGGATGCTTATAACTCCTGAACAAACAAATATGGCCTGACTAAAAGACCACACACAGAGCAGAAATTCCTTCCCTGTCCCCTTGTAAAGTCCACATGGGGAGTCAAGAGGTAGCTACAGCTCGTCCACAAACTGGCAAGCAGGAAGCAGGCTTTGTCTGTCACTGAGCACAACAGTCAGTGCAGCCTTGCAGCAGTGCCCAACAGTGACAGAGTATGTAGTGAAAGCCAGGGAAGCATAAAAAGAAATGCTCTTGCATCAGTTCAGATCACTCCTGCGAAAAAGCCTTCTCAACAGGTGGTGGAAGAGCAACATAAAGCCCAGCTCCCTCCAAGTTCCTGGCAGCATCAGCATAACCTCTACACATCTTCTTCAGAGGAAGAGCTGAGGGGAGGAGGTGGACAGACCAGAGACAGAAGAGGCAAGGCATGCACAAGTGGTGGCTCATTTCTTCCAGCCTCAGAGACTAGAAAATGGTCCTGCCCTTCCCAGATGATTTATTCAGACAAAACATCACCTGGGTAATTCCTTTATTTGTAGAAACTGACAGCATTCTCCTTGCGAGCAAGCCAGTGTCATTCTTAGTAGCACCTTCACATTTTCAATTTGATCCTGACTATGGGGCTTATTCCCATGACAAGTAGGAGGAGGTCACAGAGGTAATCCTGGCTGACAAGGGCTGCAAAAGATTCGGAGCAACAGAAGACATCAAAATACTATCCTTCAGCTCTGCCACCAGCGTGCCACGTGATGCTGGCCAAATCACTCCACCCAGGCTTTTCAGCCCTCTGTCTCATTCAGGAGTCACCAACACCTGCCTTAAAACAAAACCAGTAATAACGCAAAAACCAGAGAAACTCTGTTAAAAGTTTTAACACAGCCTCCTCCTTCTGCCTTGATCTTAAAAACAAAGCCAGCTTTAGGGGGTATAAAATTGCATTTTGCATTTATGTGCATTGTTTGCAAACAACAGAATTCACAGGTCAGTTTTTGGCATGAGGTGAGAAGGCATTCACTGGGCACCAGAGTAGAAATCCACACATTAGGAATCTCCGTTCTGTCACCTGCCAGGCGTGTGACCATAGGCAAGTTATTTAACAACCAACTCCCTTCCTCAGTTTCCCCAGCTGCAAAGCAGGGTTGTTGCTTCTCTCCCACCTTGCAATGCTTACTGCCCATGAGCTGACCTCTCACAACTACTGCTGCACTCGCACTGCCCAAGGTGGCTTTGTTTCGTTCCTAAAACCAGCTAAGCATATTTTCCAGCATGAGCTAAAAACGAGTCTATGATACCGTGCCTTGACTTTGATTCTAGCACAGAAAATACAAGAGACATCTATATCTGTCCCTCCTTGATAGACAAACTTAATTAACCTTTGCTATTCTGTTCCAACCTATTCTTTTAGACAAAGGCAGTGACCCATAAACAATATGTTACCATCAGAATCTCAACTGCAGTGACACCTAGAGATATAGCCCTATCAGCAGTATCGGAAAATAAACTGCTTAGATTAGCTCCTCCAAGAAATATGGATTGCATTCATGTCACACATGAGCTGTCAGAAACATTAGGATACTTTTAGCATAAATCTGTAGTGTGAAGGGTATGTTATGAATACAGTATATAATACACTGCTTACACATGAAATTGGGATTGTGTCAGGTGACTTGCACAATGTATATATTCACACACACACACACATTTTACACCTATTTCTGGAGAGTTAAACCACACATTTCTGTAATAAGGTCAGGCTTACTGGAGGAAAAACAGTGCTAGCAACTAGAAAGCGGTTGTGGAAGTTGAAAAGGGGAATCTTTTTTAGTAGCAAGCGGCTATTCTTAAGAGTTCCAACTGCTAGGTGCCCTATCATGGCCGAGAAGTAGGGAAGGAAGGAGGGAAGGAAGGCAGGACTGGAAGAAAGGGAAAAAACTACCTCAGAGTGTGAAACATAAAGTACATGGAATTCTGAAATTTGCCCAAAACCTCATGGCCAGCGTTAATCTTTCCCCAAAGCAGGATCCCTGGAGTTACCAAAGTAACAAAGAAAACGCAGGCACTGCTCCCCAGGTGTGGGGGCACATTCTGCATCTTGCAGATTTTTAATGGTCCAGCTGCAGGAACTAGAAGGGATGACGCTGACTCAGAAGGAGTCCTGATTATCCTTATGCTGTGGGTCACAGGCTAGCAATTTCATTGCCAGCTTGGAGAATTAAATCTATTAGATTCAAATTTGTCCATGCAGTCTTTTCTTTTGTTGTGGTAGAGAAGACTGCAGTCACCCCATCATTCTCCAGTTGCTGTCCCTAAGCAAGGTGCAGTGAGACTGGTTTCAGAAGCAGCAACTTCCACTGTATACTGACTTGCAGTCCTAATGCTGGGGAACTCGTTTAACTGCTAATTGGATTGAATGCACATAAATTCCTGTTGTAATGAACAATGATGAGAGCTTTAAGAGAGGGTCCAGATGCTCACACAGAACTGCAGTGAAAGGAGATGCACAATAACCACCACAACCGCAATATTTCCTCTCCAACCTAAACTTGTCTTTTCTTCAGGTGCAACACCAGGCAGATCTGATTATCTGCCTTAGAGCTGGAAAAAGCAGCAGAATGTAAATGACTGAAGGGGTCTTGACCAAAACTACTGTTTTCATATGCTTATCAAATCTTGATGGATATAACTTCTGGGATAATTATATAGACATTAACAGAACCTACACAGAAATACCTAAAAAATTTGCACCTCTATGAATCCACTCAAGTATGCGAGCATCTGCGAAGAACAAAGACTAATGAAATCTGACATTAATCTACATTAAAGATTCAGTGATTCAGTTTATTTGCCAAGGCTCAATGATGCATTAATCCTCATCCCATCCCACACACACTTGCATGTTTCCTCCCTGGCTTTCCTCCCTTGCTCCCTAAATTCTGAAATAGCAGACAGCTGGGCTGCTAAAGGCCTTGTCTGCATCCAGAAATTATCTTACTTAAAGTATGCAATTCTCCTTGTGTGGTTACAGTTATTCCAGAACAAGCGACCCTCCACCAACAGAGCCTGGAAAAGACAGGGGTCTTGTCTGCACTGCTTAAACTAGGATACCGTCCAGTGAGCACATGGGTGGCTTATACCAACAAAGAAATCCCCTTGTGGCCTCACGCCTTAGCAAGCAGCCCTTATTTGGTTACAGCAGGCATTGCACAGCTATCATTTTGGTAAAGAAGCAAAAATCAAAAACCTTGATAAAAACAGTTATATCACTACCAGTGACGTAAGTACAGTCACTCGAACTGGAAGACTGCTTAAGAAAGCTTGCACATATAAAAACTAAATGCAGTCAGTAGAGGCAATCCAGCAAAAATTGCTATGTAGACAGAAGTACATGTTTCCTCTGAAGAGAATCAGCCTATATAGGTTTGTTAGCAAATCCTCCTGAAGGTGTAAGCAAGGTCTCATTCCCCTTTGCAGATCATTCTTTGAAACTCTCCAGTAACTCCTTACCATGCTTGACAAGAGAAACTCATTTATCCTTCTCCATGTTTCTGTGATCTTCCCTTGCTGGTAACCTTCCATGCACAGAATCCATTTTTAACCATGTGCAGCAGCTGAGAGCTTGCTCCCCTTACAATAAACCATCTTCACAGTGTTTTACAATCTCGGCATCACTGCACCCACTGCCATCAAGCATTACCTATCGGAGCCCTCGCTAAAACTCTTTATGATTATTTGTGCAATGTTATACTGTCATAATAGTATGGAAACCCCATGATTTGTAACTCTTCCAGCAATAACAATCCTTCTTGCAGATCAGCCTCTGAGAAACAGCTTCTAAGTTACATGACACTGACCTTGAAGTACACTCTGCCCTACTGAACAGGAGAAGTGGGTCCTGGCTTTAGGCCACTCAGAAGCTGGAGAGATGCCACTTCTGCACGCAGAAAGCACTACCTCTAGTCTCCCTGCACAGACATCTCACCAGAACAGCACTGAGAGATCCCGAAAGGTTTGGCCAGAAGAAATTCTTAGCTGAGTTAGACACTAAATTCACATGGAGGTGACTGGAACCATGCGATGCATCCCACAAGGTGGTAATGAACACCCAGCACTTGGAGCCTCCTGGTGGAAGGAAAATAGTCCTTTTTGACAACATCCACCTGTTTCTGTTTAATCACCTCTTTGGTATCCCACTACTTTGAATGGCACTGAAGCAGAAGTTAGTTACAGATTCTGCAGATCCTCAAGAGAAAAATGCATGGAAAACACACTATTGCTTTTATTTCTTCAAGGGGTGTCAAAAGTCCCACAGGAAACAGGCAACCTCACAGTGAGACAACAGTCCCTTGTCGGCCAAGACTTCTTACACATAGTTTAGTTTCAAATGACAGTACATGACAGCAGAATCAAGAAGACACCACCTTCATTCCAAGGTTTAACACATTTTAACATACTGTCATGTGTCTCTTCCTCAAACACTATGCACTAGGAATAGTCAATACCTGTAATTCACTTTCCTTTTTCCCAAGCAAGTAAAATCCCAGAAGTCTCTCCTGGCTGGAGGAATGGTGAAGTGTGGGACTAGCAGTCTGCAAGAACATTATTTTCACAAGACGAATGTTATTGCCCCTCATTTGTGTTGTGACAGCATCTCCAAGCATCAGCTCTGTATTGGCTCTTAGAAGCTACATACTGCAAAAGCTGCAGAAGTAACTTTCTAACTAAAATACTCTGCTATGATGTGTCAGGTTAACCCAATCAACAAAAATGAAAAAAGCTAAAAAAAGCACTGGCACCTCACCCCATTACCATGCACAAAATCCTATCCTCAGCATGCTTCAACTAATTCTCCCCCTGGCCTGCTGATCAAATTCAGCAGCTAGAGAGGAGTGTATCTCCATGTATCTGAAGGTGATTGCAGTGAAGTCTATCAACACACCGAGAGAAGAAAGCTCTTGTGGTCTGTGCTTACATGCAGAAGGAAGTGAGACAGCTCTTTTCCCCATATAGCTACTCATAGCGAAAAAGGGACATGGAATAGTACTAAATGCAGACTGCTGTAAAGCCATGATCTTAAAATTCATGGACCTGCCAGGTGTTGCCCCAGGAGGCCTCTGCATTTCCAGAAGTACCTTTCCACAAAGAAAGTGTCTAATGACAGGAAAGCCTTGCCAAAGGTGATGTGGATTGCTACAGTAATTGTAATCACCCTGGTCTTAGTCCCACCTCCTGGGTATCAGAAGTTAAAATGCCCTTTCAGTGTTGGTCCCTGTACCAGAATTGCTAGAGGAATTCTCTGTCAGCAAAGGGGATGACCCATCTGTTCCCCTTAGAAATTAGGTTTTGTGGACATTTTGTCTTTCATTGTTGAGTGGTTTCACAACAGAGCCTTTGCAGAAGGCAGCCTGCCCTCTCTTGATGCTCTACAGAAGAGGTCTGCCCTCTCTTGCCCTTGGACAAGGGACTCAGGTATTCACAGACTTACAGGGCATAGCCTCCTGAGTTCCATATCAGACAGAAGAGCACAACTCCAGCCCAAGACCAAACGGCCTCAGGGTCACTGAAATGGCTCCGCTTACTCTGCCAAGAATCTCCTGCCTTGGCAGATTTCCCCTTTTTCCTGTCTCTGACCCATACTGAGTTGGAGGCTACAATTATCAGATCCTAGAGTGAGAGGGCTCTGTTGGCTTTATACTCTTAACTAATGAAGTACACAGAGCTTTGGTGTGACCCTCTGAGGCACAGCCTGTAACTTGAGCTACCTAAGTCAAAATTACAAGCCCCAGAGCTGACACTGCCAGTAGCAACACACCATTAGAACACACCATTAGCAACATGCCATGTCACATTCAAGTGACTGACACCAATCCACTGCATAACAGCATGGTCTCCTGGGTCACTTCAGCGCCTTGGATGTGAGAGATGGAAGAAAAAAGAACAGGTTCCTGAAGAGCAAAGCCTCTCAGAAACGATACTTGAAGTTCTCAGGACGCTATGTTGGATAATTCCATTGGACTCCTTTTCCAGAAAACAGCCCCAAATCTACTATTCTGTCACTTAGAAGATAAAATCAAGTAGGTGCCTTTACCTGCGCTTGCGGGAACCTATACCTGTATCATTGCTTTCCTTGTGCTGCATCACAACCATTTTGGCTAAGTTTCCTAGTGGGTCCTAATCCCACCCTGGAATCTGGTTCTGGTTTTGCAGTGCCATGAAAGCAACAAACAGGAGGTCAGAATCAGGCCCACAAAACAGCTTACTGTCCACCTCGCTCTTCCATGAAACACCTCAGTACCACCATACCTGCCACTGTTTTCCTGACTGGTTTGGCATGTATGTTGCTGGGAGGCTTCGACGGGTTTTTTTCATGGCTGACCCTACAATTGTACCCCCCGTCTCACTTGAGGAAGGCTCACTGGCCACTGCCATTTGGTACTGGGAGTAGTTGTACAGGTTGTTGTAGTAAGGATACAGGGACGGCTGGTAAAAACTGCTGTAGTAGGTGGAGTCCACAACCAAATCAGACGTGCTCTCCAAGTGCCCTCTGCTGGGGATGGAAGGGATGTCCTGAATGAGCATCCGTCCCTCTGGAAAAGAAAAAAACAAGCCATTATGAAACAAGAGGCTCCATGAAGACCATTACCTTTCACCTTCTACGAGCTATTACTTCTCCTGAAGGCTGTACTGCAGGTAAGAAATAGGAAGAGATGTGAGCTGAAAGGGAAACACGGCTGGAGGTTTGGTGGAAACTCAAAGTTCAGGACCACCTACAGACACCATGGACCGCAAAACAGGAAACAAAACCACCCGCAGCTTAAGACAGTGCTCTGAGTTCTCAAGCCACATCCATTGATCTGATGATGATTTACAACATCTAAGGATGCAGTCTGCTATAATTTTTATATTGTAACAGTGTGCCAAATTTATTTTAGCCCCTTGGAAGCAGAAAGGCTCTGGCTACAGGTTGACATCATTGCCCTGCAGGTAAGAGGGACCCTTTCCGAACATGCTGCTAGAAGGGGCGGCCACGAGGCCATGAGGAAGGTGCAGGAGGGCAAGGACCGCATGATCAGCCCAGATGTCTCAGGTGCTAACTCTAAGCAGGGAGGGCCTCAATCCCTGCCCCACCTCCAAACTAAAATTTAGTGCATGTTTACCTACAAAATCACAGTGCAGAACAAGCTCCTACACCACTGGCAAAAGAGGAGGAAGCATGACTTGCTGTCTGCACCCTGGGGTGCCTCCAGACTGGAGACCAGCTGCCTGCAGTCCCCACAGGCTGCCCCCACACAAGTCTGCCTCTCCTGTTGTTCCCGAAGACGGGGTCTTCTCAGAGGCTGTCTTAGAGTCGCATTTTCCTCACTCCAGTGTCCACCACTGCCTTGCAATTCTTGCAAAGATGAAAAAGGAAGATGCTAGTCTGGTACTGTTTCACAGCCAGGGTTTCTCTGACACCTTGCATCAGCTACCTGGCAGAACCAAACACCACAAAAAACCACCACAAGCACAGAAAGTCTAACCAAACAGTGAATATACATTTACTGATTGAATAAGGGACCAGCTGTAAACCCCACCATCTATGCAGCCCTGGTCCTAGCTTGCGTTTCTGTAACCCCTGCCCTGTACCGGCCCTTAGGGGTTGCAGCACAATGGTCCCTTCTCCAAGAAGCTCCTGCTCTTTCCATGATGTTGTCTCACTTCACTGTGGAGAGAATAGGATGTGGTTTAAAGCATACTGATGAGCTCTCAAGAGCTATCAGTATGGAGTTGAAGCAGCATGAACAATAGGCACGTATGAAATAACAACTCTAAGAGAGATGTCAGGCAGACATTGACTCGTTTGTTTTGTGCCTTTCTCTTGGTGTATCTGTACTTTGGTTACTGACCTGCAAAATGAATATGGTGGCATTTACCAGCCTCTCACAGAAAGTAACACCTTCCACCGTACTGTGCATTAGCTGCACACTAGATCCAAGGATCAGTTTTACCAACGATTGCCATTTACAATGCAATTCTGTTTCACTTCAGCTGTAATGAAAGCTCTCTGCCATCATGTATAGTCTCCTTCCAGGTCACTAAATTATACAGTGCCCCCATTCAGCTCTTGCTGACACTTTGATGACATCAATGATCTATACCCATTTATTATCAAACTGAGCATCTTATGCGTCCTGTATCTGATTTTTCTGCCCCTCAGCCCTATGCGAGCAATAACGTAGCCAGCTGGCCTTTTTCATTGGGAGTACCTCTCAAATTTGCGAAGAACAGAGGAGTCTGCAATGCCACAAAAGACCCTTCACAGTTTTTGTGCTTTCGTATTTTAATGAAATTTTAATATTGCTATTACTCTGCTTCTGGGCAAGCCTCTCTTCAAAGTCCTTTTGTTCGTGTCTTTGACAAAATCAGAACTTATACCACTGACACTGAAAAGCCAACAATTCTGCTAAATCACAGCATGAGCCTGACTCCCTTCCCCAAGCTCAGCTCACAAATAATGTTGTGGTCCAATTGTTCTGCTTTTCATGCTGAAAATTAGAAGCTGAATACAAAATCCTCCAACACATTCCATGCTGGGATACAGATTTCACATGAGACAGAGATATGCAAGGCAGTTGGCCGCTTAACTTCTGGAAGGGCTATGCTATCCCACACAGACATGCAATTTCTTCTGAAACCTCTGCAGTGTCTTTCCACTTGCAATGCATCCTAGCACCAGGAACAAGGGGCCTCTTTACACCCACACAGGAAAGGCAAGTCACCCTGAGATGTCAGCAGCTAAAGGGAAGGAGGGGAGAAAGTAGCAGGCTTCGCTGCAACTTTTGGAAAGGTCTCATGCACTACACTTCCTAACATGTGCCGGGCTAGCCTAGAACAGTGGCCTGTCAGCAGTCATCCCCAAAATCATCCAAGCATCCTTGACATCTCTGTTATATTCAGGTGGCTGGTAGTGTTACAGCTCCTTCCTGAAGACAGAGCAGTAGTGCCAATCTCCTGCTGCATTAAGTAGGAGAAAAAAATACGCTTCTTGCTCCTTCTTCTCTCCTTCTACCTCCTATCTGTGGTGGGGGCCACCATAATTTGCCACTGGAGGTGTAGAAGGGTTGACTTCCTGCCAGCCGTTCTTTAGCTGCACAACAACTGTCAGCAGTTCAGTGCTCTGGGACAAGTCTCTGCTTTTTTTCTATAGCATCTGGAGGCAATTCAGTGTTTCATCCGGGAGAAGGGAGGTATCTCATACAAGACATAGCTTTGTGACATCCAGACTGTGGGCAGACATCTAGTCAGACCAGGTCAAAGCATCCCAGGGGTTACTCTAAACTCAGTCTTGAACCAGCCAGCTTGAGGGAAGGATGCCTCTGGAGAGCTGAGTTCTTGCAGGTCTTCAGCAATGCTGGCAGGCACCGGGTCAAGGGCAGGTCTGCAGACCAGCTCTACGCTCTTACCCCATCCAGCCTGGCTGAATCACATCTCCTACTACTAATGCGTACATCATACATGTACTACACATACAGATCATACACAGCTGCATGTACATTAAGGGGAAAGAGCTTTGGTAATAACGGAGAAAGCCCTGAAAGTCTTGACTTTTTTCGGAGCAATGAAAGCTCAGGAAGAAAAGCAGGTCAGACCAGCCAGCACCTGCATGGGGTATCTTCAAAGAAGTGTGAAGTGACAAGGGTAGCAGAATTAAAGGCCTAAGAACCCTGCTAAAGTGTCTCAGGGATAAAAAAAAAGGCACTCTTGAGACCTGCCCAGAGAAGATTTCATGTTTATTGTACGCCCAGGAGAGTTTTTACCCGATCCACGCTAGTTCTCTCCAGCTGAAGTCTGCTAGCCAGCTAGCAGGCAAGCACACTGTTTCTGGGCAGCAGCAGCTCAGGCATGGCCACCATTTGCAGAATAGGGGCGATCTATTGGAAGCAATGGCTGTAACTAAATGTCAGCTAACTGAGGTTCGTCTGGTCAGTCTTTGGCCTGTACCTGGAATTCCTGACTCCTATTTATAGGCTGAACCTTCCCACAGCTTTGCCCCTGGCCACTCAACGAGCAACACGTCCTCCTCAAGGGAGGCTGTCAGCCCGTGGCTGCATTTTCCACCAGCAAGGAGAGAATACCAAGGTTAAGAAAGCAACTTTCAGCTGTTTGGGTTTTTTTGTGGTTTTTTTTCCAAGTGTAATTCAACACAGCTGAATGGCTCTGCCAGCAAGGAGAGAGTCCTCCTCTGCCTCAGAGCTTGCCGCATTAGAACACCTGCACATGAGGGGCAGTCCTGAGGTTCATTGCTCCAAGGGGAGCAATTTTCAAGAGGAATTAAGCTCTCAACAAGGCAACCGCTGCCGCACCGTCAGACTCCCACTCTGCCCCACAGCCTGCCCTTTAGAACAAGAGGGCTGCTGCAGGAGCTGGGCTCATGCCTTGGCTGTCTCCACCCTCTACATGGAAAAACTTGGAAGTGCTCCCCTGCCACCAGCCACAAATGTTAACATTTTGCAAGCTGCAAACAGAACACAACTAAAACTATGGGACTGAACCTGTACAAAAAGGAACAGAAATCAGAAGAGCAAACCAGAAAAAGAGTGGTTAAAATTCTTGCTCAGTTTTTGGAACACCAAATCTACAATGCAGGGATGTCAGCAACTCTCCAGGCATGAGCAACACTCTTGCAGTGAAACAACAGTATCCCTGCATGCAGTTGTGCCCTTGCATCTCTAAGTTCTTTTCTGTGTCTCTACCAATTCCTGTAGAGAACCAATGCTACTTTTTTGCAGCATGTACACCGTGTGAAATATGGCCCACTCTTTCACAGAAGATCAATATGATGCACGATAAATACTGTTATTGATCTTGCAGTGTTGTAGACGACTCTCCAGTTCTATGGCATATTAATAGTAGTTAACCAGTAATTCATTTCAGGATGGCTGGTATTTTCTTTTAAGGAAGGCGAGTTCTCGGGGTCAGTTACACATATAGGTCTTATACATTCAGTAACATATGAGAGGCTCCTGCCTTCCCTGAGCAGAACATCGTGAAAAACAGTGGTCCAGTCCTCAGTTAATGTAAACCAGTCTCAGACCATTTACTTCAATAAAGCTATGGCACTTTACACAAATTGCGGATATGCATGGCAAAATCAACCGAGAAGCCAGTATATAGATCATTCTTTCCCTTCCTACTTTTTGGGAGAAGAGAAATGTCAGGGAATTTACAAGAATTTCTATCATCTCTATCTCACAAATGTTTTTTTGAGCATGCACACTGAAAAATGCAAACACCTAAGTTCTGTCTGTAACATTCACTCATTCTGTGTATAAGCATGGAATATTTTATATTCCTACTGGTACTGTTAAGGGCCAGTTATACATCTTGCTATACACTGATAATAGTACTTTAAACATGCCTGGCCAAGCCTCTGATACTGAGGTCAAGTGGCACAGAGTCCATACTATTAGACTCTCTCAGCACTAAAACATGGGGGCAGCAACAAATTGCCTACTGGAATGGCTACTGGACCGCACTTGGGAATCTCTGGGAGAATATTAGGTTGGGACACATGCACATCAGGAATCATTTTAAAAATCAGGATAGC